TAGGTTCCTTAGGGTCCAGGTAAATCCTAAACCCACAACCCTGATGTACTCTTGGGTCTTGAAGCCCGGAGAACCCAATACCTCTTAATTAAGGGACATACCTTTAATCATAATCTTAAGGCCCCTATAATTTAAGGTATATTCCTTAGTTAAGGGGTATTGGGCTCTCTGGAAAGCGGTTTGGGGAAGGTCGTGGAGTGCCTGGATGGCCTTTCCTTTGCTTTTGGCCCGGCGAGCCTCGTGGTTGAAGATGCTCTGAGCTTCAGGACCCCCTAAAGCCTAGCTCCCTGAGTAGTACCCTTTTGCCCTTTCTATTTTAGGGCCCCCTTACTAAAACCGAATAGTAGGAAAAAGGGTACCCTTCTTATAAAGGGGCTACTCAGTAACCAAGAAACCACCCTGTAATAGAGCCCTTGTGATCCCTGTAGGATGGTAATTTGGGGGGATCTAGTTTAGAGGGTAGTGGGGTCTAGGTTCACAGTTTTGGGAGACAGGGTTCTTATTTCTGGGACTTTCCCAGGCTTTTGGGCTTTTTGTTTGGTTCGATCTTGTTTTCAGGAGCCCCGTGGCTCTTTCTGTTTAACGGTGTAGGGAGGGTTGGGGTTTAGGGTTTATAGGGCTTAATTATAGAGTTTAGGGAGGGCTAGGTATATTCATACAAGCGTTTTCATGAATAGTTTGGCAGCGTTTTGCCAACGATCATGCGTCATTGTCGCACCGCAGGCTTTCGAGCCCTACGTGAGTACGGTTCAAATTGGAAGTGGACGGATCACGGCATGCATGTTGCACTGAGGGTTTGCGACTACTTTCCGAGATCTGTATTTCCATAAGGCCCAGGCCACGATTCCGAAAGCCCAAAGCCAAACCATGACCCTACCTAAACTTTTAACACCTCTAGCACCTTCACGAAACCCAAAGAGAACTATATGCCCATACCGCGTTGCGGTACTGAGCCGAGGCTTTCGACAACCGAATCTCGACGTCTTCGAGCAGATCTTGCGGGAGAGCTCTTGGGTTGGGCTTTGAGCGGTTCGTGTCTGAGAGCTAAGTTTTCAGTCAGTTCGGGATGATTGGGTGCGGGTTATGTGGATTGGTGTATCGGTGTCGGGACTTGGGATTTTGGGTGCAACTAAAGCCAGCAGGGTCTGAACGATCCCCAGTAGTACTAGGGAGACCCCTTACAGGGGACCCTTCTTAACCTCAATAAGGGTCCATATACCCAAGGGTCCCCCTAATCCTAATTCCCAACCCCCAAATTAGGTAGATTTCCGGTTTAGTTAGCACCTCCTTGAAGAGCAGTGCCTTCCAAACGGCGTGTCTTCTCAATGGCCCTTCCTTGGCCCTAGATCCCAAACCCTAAGCCCGTTCGAAAGGCCCTTAGAAGCAAAACAGGCATCATGCCCTAGGCTTTGCATATGGTAGGAGCAGAGTCTCTCAGCCTGCGTCCTTAAGGCCGTGACGGTTCTTTAAGGCATAGTTGCGGCTTTTTAGGCCATCCTGAACATGACATCCAGAGATTTCAGAGATTTAGGTCTAAGGCATGCATGAGAATAGAACTTCTGTGCAAGGTGTATTGAGGTTGCTGGGCATCATGATGCCACTTAAGCCCTACACCCTCAACCCCAGACCACATCATTTTCGGCTCCAGCTGCTTCTTCTCACTGCGACAGCCACGGCAGCATGCGCTGCAGGGTGCGGCAACAAAGCCCCCCAAAATAACATCAAAACGAAGAGATAAAAATAACATATCTTACTACGGTATAGTAACAAGATGAAAAATAGCGACACACGCAGCGCAACCCACGGCCCATCGACCGAAGACGTCTGCTCTGAAATTCACTGCATCCCATTTCCAAAGCATTGGTGTTGTCCCAAGCCCAACCCATGAATGCCCATAGGCCCCCAAGTAGTTCCTTTTTGGGATTACCTTATAGGATTCTACATATAAACCATAAACAGGAACTACTCAGGAGCCTATGGGTATAGCTCCACCACAAGCGGATCAATCAGCCTCGCGGGTCGTCCCATGGACGATGACGAGATTCTCGAGGATATCAGCTATCTCACTGGTCGCGGTTTGGATGCTGGGCCTTGTTTAAAATAAAAGGCCTATAGACCCTGAACCTGAGCTATTTTCAAAACCACGCTCGGAATCAACGCAGGGTCCGACAAACATGCAGTGAAGATCGAAGCTCCAAGCGGGTACACTGAGCTGCCAATGCTGGCCCGCAACCCTGATACGACTCGAACTTTGGATCCTAATACCGAAGTTGGTAAAACTGAGGCTACGAATCCTAGAGCGCCATTCTGAGCTAAGCCATTAACCTAAACTCAGAAGTCCTTAAGAATCACTTCGAATCCCTTTTGCACTGACTTGACGGCTTCAACCGGCAACAGGCGTTTGGCTTATTTGTGCATTGGTATTCGTAGTCATAAGGCACTACTTGGGAGGGTTAAATGATTATTAATTATTCGCTATACGGAAGGCAAAAAGTGTATGTTGTTGAGGGGTCCTCAAAATGAGGCTGAACCCCGGTTGTATTTGTATGTTTTCCAAAATTTCCTTTGCACTACTAGCTTAGCAGGTACATGTGATGAGGGGGCTGGGACATTGTTGGAGCAACAGCAGGTTCGGTCTTAAGATGGGTTCCCGTTTCGTTAAGTACAAGATTTATACTGAACCTTTAGCCCTGCAGCGGGGTGCAGAAGCTTGGAACTTCGAAGCCCAAACCACAGAAGGGATTTGGGGTCCAAAGGGCCGGAGCTCATGGGTCGAAACCTGGTGTCACTAACTGGGAATACTGTATTTTTTTTGCAGACCGCACAAGCACCCGACCACCTCAAACTTTGTGATCTGCACACCGAGGCCTCAAACCTCAATCCTCATCCCGAAAATGATTGAGTAGTTACAGTTATACCATCAACCTTTCGGGGGTTTACCCCGGCGCAAAAAGAAAGCGCAACAGCCAAGGATGGCTATCGTCCACTCCAGCGCGCCATGCCCAAGAGACAACTTTTGGGTTTTGGGTGCTTTACATGCGAGGACAGGGTTTTCGCCATCCCAGAACAACCTAAACCCTAATGTCCTTGGTGATTCATTATGTGTACAAGGTATAACTGAGGAATGATGCATTACAACTTTCTGTGGTCCGGGTTGGGGTGTCCGGGTAGAGTATAAGCCTGAGCTCAGTCCACACTTTGCAGAGTTTCGGATCAGGAGCAGGATCCCACTGGTGTAATACCATAATATGATGTAACCTAGTATGTATAACATAACATCATATAACGAATAAAGGACTCAGAAAACCGCAACTTGAGCGACTGCATGGAAAGTCTAGCCCAGGTGCCGTGCAGGAAGCAGAGGCCTGAAATGAGTTTAGGGCGTAGGTGTGCTTTCTTTTTTTCTTGGGGTTCATCGAGTTTACGATTTAGGTGTGCTTTCGTTTTTTCTTAGGGCTTGTGTCTCAGGTTTAGGGTGTATAGGGTTTAGGGATTTACAGTAACTTGGCTTGACCTCTGGCCTGTGGCCTGTGGCTGCCATGAGCTTTGGGACTCGAATTCGACCCTAAACCCCCACTATCTGGGGCCGTATACCCCGAATTGAGGGTACACCCAGGGTCCTGGTATGCTTGCCTGATTAGTAGTTTGTGGTAACTGTTGCTTTAAGAGGGCGCCAGTATAAAACGTAGACGCAGATCTCGATGTTTGGTTAATTAATGCTTCTTTCGTGCACTTCTCTAGTGGTAAGCCCATTGCCCTTCTTTCGATCAAAGAGGAATTCTACCAGAACCAGCCCGTGATTCCTCAAAACACGTCATGGAAGCCGCTGTAGGAACCCTATATAAAATCCTGCAGGAACCTTTTGAAGGGCTTACCCGCGCTGCATATATATATATATATATATGTATATGTACATATATATATATACATATATATATACACACAATTAACGGAACCGTCCTACACCGCTTTAACCTTTACACAAACCCTGCCCTCACAAGTCGCTTTAATGTCTGGACAGGCCCGACGTCGAACCCCAGACCCTAAACCGTAAATCCTAAACCGAAAGCCCTAAACCCTAAACGCTAAACCCCTAGACCCTAAACCGTGAATCCTAAACCGAAAGCCCTGAACCCTTAATCCTAAACCCTCCTCGAAGAGCCTGTAGCTGCAGGGCGCTCCGTGGATCGCGCGGATCCATCTGATCCTGGTCTGTCTTAGCTTTCCCTAGGGCTTCAAGTGCTTGGCAGCTGGATCACCAGGGGTTCCGAGGGCCTACTTGAGCCTGGGATGATCGGGTTGGGTGGGCTCTATAAGGTTTCTACAAGGTTCCCAATTGGGGCCCGTGAAGGATTCTAGAAAGGTTTGTTTCTACGGCTTGTAGATGCATCGAAACATGCGTTACCAAAAGCGTGTAGGTTTCAGGTGTTGGGGTCTCTTCGTTTTCAGTATTTGGCGTCGTGCTGCTATCGAGGAGAAGCCGTGGACACAATGTCTAAGATTTGGAGACGCTGTAAAGGCTAGAGGCAGGAATAACTACCGAAATCATTCCCGGGATTCCTCATCACAGCTACCCACAGGTCCCCAAGTAGTTCCTTTTTACGGTTTATATTTAGAACCCTATAAGGTAGTCCCAAAAAGGAACTACTTAGGGGCCTATGGGTATACTAATGTACCCCCCAAAGCCAGCCCCACTCTGATTGTTAAGGCGCCTAAATTACTTGCCTTCTGGCCTCAGACTTCTCAGGAATAGCGCCGTGATGACCGGCAACATCACCACCCTGAGATATTTGGTGGACGAGGCCTTCGACGCAGCGATTTGGGTTGTATGAAGATTTTGGGGGGCTGTTCCCCAAAGGGTCCTAAGTACCTATTTTTCTAGAGGATACTTACCTAATTCCTACTTCTGTTGGGTTTGTAAAGTCAAGTAGATGAGTCAAAAATGCTTGGAAATCCAGCGCATAACCTTTACAGACGCAGAGCTGCTGTTTTCATGGTACGAGAACCCCGTGCATCCGAGCACAAGGTTGGGACGGTTCTCAGTAAGGTGTTATCATATCTGCTTACAGATTCTGGTATGCTCCCCGATGTAGGAGTACTATAGAGTCGCGGAGTTTGTAGTCTCTAAGTTTTGTCTGCTGTCATTCACATATATATATATGTGCGCTTATGAAGTTGAAGCTTGTTTTTCAGCGTTTCCAGGACCGTTCTAGGTATGTATACGGGTGCCACAGGGCCCTAAGCCATCGTGGGCAGATCGCATAATGGCATGCTCGTCTAAGGTAGGGCCACCAGGAGGGAAGAGTTCCTTGTGTGGATTCGGAACGGGGCCCCCAACACAGGGGCTTACGTAGCTATACATAGCATGTGCTCCGTATTGGCCAAGACTAGTAGCCTTTAGTGAGGCGAGACTTGAGTCGTTGATGCCAAGAGCCCTGGCAGTCTCGAAACACTTCTTCTAAGCTGTGTTTAGCTCGAGCTTTGTGGGCAGGTCGGCGTCAAGACACTGAACACCGAGAGAAAAGGTCACTCGTCTTCGTCTGAATGCGCGACCGGATACGGCACCCATACTCAATGTAAGAGCCTTAATAATTACCTATACTATTTTGCGGGGGGTTCAATAGTATAATATGCCCAAAATCCTATTCTAATTATTCAGGCCCTTACATTAAAGACCTAAACCTGAAAGCTCCAGACTTCCCTAGAAAACGAACCTTACGGGTACTCTGTGTTGCGTTTCGGCCGTGGAGAATCCTGGCTTGTAGACCTACACCTAGCCAAATCCGGAATTTGGTGTTCAGCTGTAGCTACAGCTCGCATGACCATGAACGGAAGTCTTCTCTGAAAGGTCATCTGATCAAGAGGTCCGGGTTTGGGCATTGCGGGTGCACGGGTTTAGCCTGGGTGTTCACACTTTTGAGTTCATTATGGATACGGTTTGGGAATGTAATTACCCAGCCTAGCTGCTTGGAGTGTAGTTCTTAGGCTACACGCCACTCGAGATGGCCGTGGTCTGGGGACAGACACTTGGACGAACGACCTTGTTTGGCTCGACACTGTTTGTACACATCGAGTAGTCTTGCAGGAAACTGCACCATGTATGGGGGGGGGGGGCTTACCAGGTCACATGACAGAGTGGCATCGGTCCAGCGTGCATTTCACTAGAACCGAAACCTTACAGCCTTTAAACCCCTAGCCCCACATCGGAAGCCTGAGCGCCAACTAGACTAGGTGTGGAGCTTTTGCCAGAATTTTCATGGAGCCGTAGGAAATGATATTATTCTTGTTTCTCAGTCCCCAGTAATGGACCATGTTAATTTGGAGGTGCTGTAATGCCAAGATGCACTTACCCGCAGATGCTACGCGACGCAAAGCCGAAACCTTAAGCCACCTTTGAATATCAGATTTGAACCTGGTGTCCCTAAACCCTAAACCCGACACCCCACACCTCGAGCCTTCATAGGGAGTAGTTAAGAGATATGTAGAGAGATTGTTGAACTGGTCTCAAGCGCCAGCCCTAGCCGCCCTCAGCCCTGTAGTTTGCATTCCTTGCCCAAGGTCTTGTCCTTAAAGCGTCGGTTTTAGAACCTAGGGAATTTAGAATGCAGAGTTACAGGCTTTTGGGATGTTTTGTTTGGGAGATCCTGACCCCTAAATCGAAAGCCCTACACCCAAAATCCTCCATCACAACCCTGGGGTGTACGGCTTGCCCTAAACCCTCAATCAAATCCCCAAACCCAAGACAACCCAAGACCCTTACCCCTACACCCAAAATCCGAAACCCGAAACAACTGAGGGTAGAGATCCTGGTCTACCTTCTCACTCGTGGAGCCGACCCCTTGCTATGGAGACGCGGCACCTTGCCTGCAAAACTAGGTCGGTTTTTGAGTTCCAGGCCCCAACACCCTGAACTCACCTCACCTGAGGGTTTGGGGCTCAGGGCTTTTTTCGGGGCTGGGGTATCTCTGGCAGATAGTTGCTTGGGCTTCAAAGAGGCAGTAAAAGGAGGTAATGGTTCCATGTTCGAAAGCCTGCTGCATGCCCGTTCTCGCCATGCGTTGACTCGTACAGTCTGTCTCTCCCTCTCCTCCCTCCCTCCCTTCCTCCCTCCAACCCTCGCTCGCTCGCTCGCTCGCTCGCTCGCTCGCTCTCTCTCTCTCTCTCTCTCTCTCTCTCTCTCTCTCTTCCAGTGTATGTGCATATACACGTTGGTGATCGAACTCTATATCCATAGGCTCCTTAGTAGTTCCTTTTTGGGATTGCCTTATAGGATTCTAAATATAAACCACAAAGAGGAACTACTTAGGAGCCTATGGGTGCAGCTTAACCCTCAGCTGGCCTGGAGCTGTATGTCTGCAGACTTTAGACAGCCTCCACGTTGCCAAGCAGTGTAGATCGCTGGTTCAACAGCCCCCTTGCTGAAGGACCCTAAACCACCCTGAGAATGGGATCCATGCTAGACCCTCACACCCTAACACCCTAAGCTCTAAGGCCCTCGAGCCCTGAGTGCTCCAAATGTTTAGGAATGTTTCTGTTCATCAGGGGATACGTATACACTAGCGTATTCCCAGAAATCATGGTAAAACCCTTGTGAAAACTTTTGAACCCCTTGGAAAACCCTATACAGCCCGACTCACGCCGCTGAGGTAAGTCTGTGGTAGACAAGGCAAGATTACGGCAGACCCGGCTGCAGGTGCGAGGGATCTTAGGGTTTTATGGTTTAGGGTTTAGGGTCTGGGTTTCACTCGAATAATCGACAACTTGTGCAACCGGATTTGTTAGGCTAAGCCTTGAACCCTAATCCCTATACCGTAAGCCCTGCACCCTACACTCCATGCCCCAGACCCCAAACCCTAAACCCTAAACCCTACCACTTTCACTCCTTGAGAGCCTCAGGGTAGCGGTCTTCGGGTTTAGGGCTTATAGGGTATTAGGGATTTTGGGTTAGGGTAACATTACCTGAAACCTCACTTCAGATCGAAAGCCTTAAGCCTTCAACCTTTAGAAGGTGTTCTGGAAAGCGTCGAGAACCCCAAGGTTCGGACCTTTCCCTAAGTTGAGAGAGCTTCCTTGTTCAAGGAGTCTTGGGCACTGCGGGAAAGAGCGCTTTACGAGGTTTTGGGCCAAGGGGTTTGTTGCAGCAGGTTCAATGCGAATGCCGTCGTCTCATATTAATATTAGGGTTTAGGGTTCTTTAGGGCTTAGGGTTCTTGGGGGTCTAGGGTGTGGGGTTCTTTCGGGTTTGGGGTCTAGGGGTGGGATGGTGCATGACCGAGGAGGAACGCACCTGCAGAACCCAACACCTTTCTTGCTGCTGACAGGGCATTACATATGACGATGCGTGGATACCCACGTTGTGTAATTTTTTTCTATAAGGCATTCCATAACCCTGCTCAGAGGCTCATGGATTTAATCAGTAGGATTATAGGTACTTTACTTACCTAAACTTATATAACTCTAGCTACCTTGCTTGAGCCCTTACGTATAATCCTAAACTTCCTAAACCCTAGACTTACTAAGTCCCCTGATCCTTAAAGTACCTCAAGCCCTCCACGGCCCAGACCCAAACCCCCAGAAAGTTACCTTGGAACCATGAGCTCCCGGGGGGGGGTTCCTGTCGATGATGTAAATCTTTAGCATTACCTTACTTAAGGACCCTAATCTCTGGGAATTGTGGTATATTTCTTATTCCGGGCAATGCAGGATTTATATCCCTAAACCCTAAACCGTGGGTAAGGCAGGATTTATATCATCAACCGCAGGACGCCTTGAAGCGCGCTGCTGAACAACTCCCGGACCCTACGAACATGGAGCCTGAGAAGATCGAAGAGCTCTATGAGAAAGGCCACAGCTTCGGGTTTTGTTTTTTGGGGGGGGGGGGGGG